TGTGTGAGTGTGTGTGTGTGTGTGTCCATGTGTGCGTGTGTGAGGATATGTGAGTGTGTGTGTGTGTGTGTGTGTGTCCATGTGTGTGTGTGTGTGTCCATGTGTGCGTGTGTGAGGGTATGTACGTTTGTGAACACAAGAAGCTTGAAAAAGAAACTTATTTACTTTTGCTTTGCTCCACTAAAAGAGAAAAACCCAATCCTGTTTAACTGACACCCCGTTTAATTGACATCCCCTTTTAATTGACAGTGTAGCTCACCTAGGTCGTCCCTTGTTGAGCCCCTCCAGCATGACACAGGCTTTACACACCTCATTGCTGGAGATGTAGTGGCAACGAGTACACGTCGCTGTGGACAGACACACAACAATACGTGTTCAATCTACTCTCACCATATCACACAACAACACTGAAATCATCAATTATATAAAATGAAAATTGTGGGCACTCTCTGGGAAGTGAATTTATTATTGTCCTCGCAGACAGACACACAAATCAACATGCATTCAATCAACTCAGAATGTATGAGACATGAACATTGAAGTCATTGATAATGCAAAATGAAAAATATGGCACTCAAAGGCAGGTGAATTTATTAAAATCGTCCTAAATACATTTAATTTTCATATAGCAAACAGATTTTCAGGTCCCAAATGTTTTCCTACACATAATGTACATGGCTAAATTCGTGTATAACGAAAAGATTTTGCGCCCCGTTGATTGCATTATGAGCTACACTGTATATTTCTAAAACAGAAAAGCAATGTACTATCATCATTAGTACTGGTGTCATTCATACTAGTATAATTATCATCACCATTATTACTACTGTACTCACTCTGTGTGGGCATGCGCACTTCCTTCTTCACCTGCATACTCTCTCCACTGTGGATGATGTCTGAGGGGAGGGGGTGGGGTGACAGGAAGTATAAGATTAGTTTTTGTTTGAGTTTTACGGCACTTTTCAACACAGATAGGTCATAGAAGTGCCAAATATTAGAGGAGATGTCACTAGAGAATAACAATCAACGGAAAAGGACGAGATGAGATGAAAGGATGATAGATGTTTGATAGGTAAGAAGGGGCAAACCTCACCAGAGCACCCGCCAACCACCCACAATACAAGCTTGATGAAGAACTGCCCATAAAGAGTAACGAAGAACAAACCCCAACCAAATACCAAGAGAGGCCAAATGGCTACGAAAATAGATCCTGAACTTTCTAAGTCCTGCGGAAGAAGAGCGAGTGTGTCATGATGATTTCTAAGCCTAGTGCAATACGAAGTCAGTTTCAGAAATCCAGATTTCCAGACTTATCCAGAAGATTGGTACCTCTGAGATGATGGCACCCAGAAAAAAAAAGTTTGGGTTGGTAAATCTTTCCCCTTATTCCGTTTATTTTTTTCAGTCTTTCTTACCAATGATGGCGCTAGGCCTGATCTTTTCCAAGTCCTTGATGTATGCTCGGGCAAAACCTCTGAGAAGACAAACAAGATGGGACATGCAAAAAATAAACAATGTCATTTACTCCATACATGTATATCAAAGGAACTGAATTCATCACCACAAACCCTAAGTGATCAGCCACTTTCAGTTAAGAGCAGAACAAGTTCATAAACTTCACAAAACTTTTTAACTTTCACATCGGTCTGAGTACGGCATAAGGTAATTAATAGTCACACTTCGCAAGAACACAGTATTTGTCTGTTTGAGTAAAGAGAAGCACATCGACACAATAATAACAGTAATCTAGTGCAGGGAAAAAGTAAGACAGACAGACAGAATCAAAAGAAGTAGGATCTACCAGTGGCACCCTCCCACCGCCCATGAACAATGTAGGGCAACAGAAACACCCAGACTGTTTGGAGGAAGGCTGCATTGAGTCAGCACAATAATTAACAGACACATTTTGCCAAGAACCAAACTGGGCAACAGAAACACAAGGCTTAAACAGAAGGAGCTGACTTCAAGACAAGCCCTCTTTCATTTACATCTCTTTATCGATTCCCACAAGGACAATAACATATTATCTTACCTCACCTTATCTTGCCTTATCTGGACTAATCCTATCTTATCCCATTATATCTTATCTTATCCCATCTTGTCTTACCCTATCTTATCTTATCCCATTATATCTTATCTCTATCTAATCCCATTATATCTTATCTTATCCCATCCTATCTTGTCTTATCCCATCCTATCTTGTCTTATCCCATTATATCTTATCTTATCCTATCTTGTCTTACCCTATCTTATCTTATCCTATTATATCTTATCTATATCTAATCCCATTATATCGTATCTATATCTAATCCCATTATATCTTATCTTATCCCATCCTATCTTGTCTTACCCTATCTTATCTTATCCCATTCTATCTTGTCTTAACCCATTATATCTTATCTCATCCCGACCTATCTTGTCTTACCCTATCCTATCTTATCACATTATATATCTATCTTATCTCATCTTGTCTTATCATATCATTTCCCCTCACAATACGACCACAGCGAGAACCCACCTGTATGCATTAGGAGAGTAGATACATTCTGTGGAGAAGTAGTCCAGCTTCTTGAAGTAAGCGTACCTGGCAGGGAAAGCAATGTATTACATTTTACATATGTGAGGCAGCGTGGTGGAATCAGGCTCTCGTCAAAATAATGAAATCAAAGAAAATGGCAGTTTATTCCCTGCTTAGCAATTTTTATCAAATTTTTGTTTTTTGGCTCAACACCTTTTACGTCCATTTACAAACACATTCCTTTGAGGATTTCACCAAAAATGTTGATTAAAGGCACAAAATTTTTTTTTAGTTTCCATGGACTCTCCAGCTTTGGAATTTACCAAACTTTGGTGGTCATCTTCTCACTAATTTTACCTCTTAAATCAGGTGACCTCCACCTCCTTCATTCGCAAATATCTCAACTTGTTTTCAAGATAAATGGATATTTTTAAAATCCAAATAAAGACAAGTGAACAAGCTTTAAGATGATACCAATAACTCTACATGACCAAAATTGACGAAAGCCTGACTGCTCGTAAATTTTTGGGTCTACGGAGTTATTGGTATCATCTTAAAGCCTGTTCAATTTGCCTTGCTTTTGGAGAAAAAATACCCATCTATCTTCAAAAGAAGTCCAGATATTGCCAATTGAAGGAGGTGGGGTCACCTGGTTCAGCGGTAAAATTAGCCACAAAATGGAAAAAAAAGTATGGTGATTTTCATAGAGCAAGAGAGTCCTTGGAAACTCCATATTATATACATTTTTTGTGCCTTTTATCAACATTTTTACAGTAAAATTCACACAGAAATGTGTTTTTAAACAGATATAAAAGGTGTTGAGCCAAAACACAAAAATGTGATAAAAATTGTCACACCACAGAAAAAGGTTGTTTTCTTCATTTTCATTATTTTGACGAACACCTGATCTCACCACTATGCTTCACATATTAAGCATCAGGGACATCTGATTTTAGTTTTAGTTTTAGTAAGTGTTTTACAGCACTTGCAACACAATTAAGTCATATAAGTGCTGAAGATTAGAGTTGTTGCATGAGAGTAACAAACATAAAAAAGAAGGACGAGAGATAAAGACGACAGTTGTTTGATAGGAAAGAAGGAGCAAACCACACCAGAGCACCCGCCCCGCCAACCACCCACATCAGATTTTAGAAATTTATCTGAATAAAGGGAATCATATATCAATATAAAAGTTATAATAGGACAGGGAAAAGTATGACAGACAGACAGACAGACAGACAGAAATATTAGAAGAGAAAAAAAAAGAAGTAGGGCAAGGGGTGCCCTCCAACCACCTGCACACCATCAAACAAACTGATCAATTGACAGACAAATAGACCAACAACAAACAGTGAGACTACCATGCACCAACACACAGACAGACCAATTAACAGACAAATAAACCAACAAGAAACAGCGAGTGTGCACCAACATACAGACAGACCAATTAACAGACAAATAGACCAACAACAAACAGTGAGACCACCACACACCACCCACTCACATCACTATCTCCTTCTCGTACGTGTACTTGAAAGGCTTGCACCTGGGAAGGTAACCATCTGTTCCCTATGGAAACGGAAACAAAAGGAAAAAAAATTATAAAATAAAACAAAACATGATCACTACAGCATACTTATGTCAAAAAGACCTGATTCCAGCCAGGTTTGGTCCTGGCTAAGACTGTCCCCGTGGTTTTATGCACCCCGCATAATTTAGCACATAGATTTAAATATATATATATATATAAGAGAGATATATATATATATATATATATATAAAATACCAATAAGCAGAAAAACAAACAGTAAAATGAACATCAAACAAAACAATGCCCAGCCGAAAAAAAATCAATTTTCCCCTCTGTCATTATTCCAACGGAACAAAGAGGACAGCACTAGGCACAAGTTACACATATCTCGAAAATTGCTTGTTATTTCCAAGGGTTGTTTGCCATTACACAGTGTGTGTATATATAAATATATATTATATATAGAGAGAGAGAGAGAATATATATATAATAATATGATAGATTTCACTACCCTCAGTGAGAAGATGTCAAAGTATCTTGACTTTACAGACTTAACCTCTGTAATTTAAAACCTAAAATTGCTGGAATGAGAAAATGAGAGGCATTACACCTTGAGCTTCAGGACAAAAACTAAGCTATCAATTTTGTCAAGAAATGTAAAGAATGTAGATTTTTCCTTCTAAACCAGACTCCTCACATCAACATCTCCACAAGACTTAACAAGAAAGCAAAATTACAAGCCTTATCCAGAAACAAAATAACAGTGTGTCTTGTCTACCACATTAGATGTACACATATCATTAGATTAAAGAAGAAGAGGTAATGATATTGAAATTCAATGAACAATTTTGTTGTTAGAAGCCCAGTCAAAATTATTCTTAACAACATACAATTTCACGTTGACAACCCAAAAAATTCATAAATTTCCTTTGCACCGCTGAGAAAAAAGCCAAGTGTACTATTATCACCCTATCGATAACTGAGTATTAAAAATATCTACTGAAAATCACAAGCTTCTTATACGCTGCCTACTGAATTTCCCCAACAATGTAATTGAGATAAAGATATGGCACTCTAAAAAATATTACTTGTTTTTTAGTCCAGTCAAGAAACTTTGTCATTATCCCAGCAATTCTGGCACTGCTTTTCCCGCTGTGACTTCCCCTCTGGCTCAGTAAGTATGTTATACATCTTAGTTTTAGTAAGAGTTTTACGACACTTGCAACACAATAAGGTCATATAAGACCCGAAGGCTAGAGGTGTTACAAGAGAGTAACAAACACAAAAAAGAAGGAGGGGAGATAAAGACAATAGATTTCTTATTGGAAAGAAGGAACAAGCCACACCACAGCATCCGTCAACCACCCACATGCTATACTTCTGGTGGTCCTGTCTTACTGACTGAAAGCCTCAGTCAAAAGTGGTTTCTAGAATGAGCTCTGGGACCCCTTGCTGACTGTCGATGTATTAATTACAGCCTTATCAACACAATTTAGATCATAAAAGAGGCTGTTGCTTCGACTCTGTCTGTCAGGACTGTGGACCCAGAAGAAAGACGGAAAAACTTGAAAAGATATCTTTCCCCAAGTGGGAATTAAAACTCTTTCCTTTCACAAGTGAGGTTGCCCAGCCACAAAAGACAGCAGTCTCATCTTCCAACTGACTTCCATTTGGCAAGAACAACATCATATAGAGCACCACAACAAAAATACACTATACAAAACAGTAACAAACTGTGAAAATCACAATGTAATGCCACAACAGACAAAGGAAGTTCACAACATGATGTTCTGAGACTTAACATGTGTGTTAAAGAAAACATGTCAGATAAAAACAGAGACGTTGATGCAATTTTACGTCGACAACGAAAAAAATACAAAAATTTCCTGCGCACAGCTGACAAATAAACATAGAGTACTATCACAACCCTACCGATAACTGTGCATCAAAACATTTACTGAAAATCACAGACTTCTTATACGCTGCTTGCTAATACCCCGTACACCAGTGAACTCATCTTTGCTTCAAATTCCTTCTATGAATACCTGTTCTCTCCTCCATTGACTTCGTCTCTGAGTCAAATCAACTTTTTCTCTTAAGATTTCACCTATTCTTCAAATGAACTCTTCTTTTTTCTCCAAAGAAGCCATCATTTTCAAGAATGAATTCATCCTGTCCAGTACTGAATTCATCTTTTCCTCTAATAGATCCATCTTTTTATCTTATCAACTCATCTTTTCCTCTAATAGATCCATCTTTTTATCTTATGAATTCAACTTTTCTCCCAAAGACCTCATCTTTTCCATCAATAAATTAATTATTTCTTCCAATGAATGTATCTTTTTCTTCTCGACATCAACCTTTTCCACCACGGATTTCACCATTTCCGTCAAAAAATTAATCTTTTCAACCTTTGAATTTACTTTTCTTCTCACTGAACTCATTATACCCACTACAGAATTCCTCTTTTCCTTCACTAAATTCATTTTTTCATCCTTTCACAGACGTTTTCGCTTGTTTGAGTGCAAAGAAACACGACACATCAACACAATAACAGTCAGCTAGTGCTGGGAGAGAATAAGAGAGACAGATAGAAGCATCGGAGGGAAAGAAAGAACAGAAGTAGGAACTACCATTGGTGCCCTCCCTCAAACCACCCACATTCGAGTAAAAAAGTTAAGCTAGCAGTTTTGCATACAAATTACACTAGCAGTTTTGCATACAAATTACAAACATAGTTTTGCATACAAATTACGCTAGCAGTTTTGCATACAAATTACACTAGCAGTTTTGCACACAAACCACACTAATAGTTTCACATACAAACTACACTAGTAGTGAACCCATCAAACAAAACAGAGACAGCTTCCAACTTCCTCGCTGAAGAGATGTCAAACAAAGAGCTGCTATCCTCCGAAGACCTCCACCTCCTTCAACTGATCGTGGTTGCCATCGGCTGCACCATTGTCTCGGCAACGGGATGCATCGCCAACATCATCAACGCAACCGTCTACATCACCCACGGGCTTCGCGACGCGGTGTCCCTCACCCTCCTCTCCCTCTCCCTCACCGACTTTGCCAGCCTCCTCTTCACCCTGTCGTACAGCGCGTGCTTCGTCTGCGGTTTATTTCCCCCTCCTCACCACCAACTCCAGTTTTTCCTCGACCCTGGCAGCTTTTGGTTGACGTCCGCCCTGGCAAGCCGGATGTTCTACGACATCTCCATGTCCTCCACGGCTTTCCTGGCTGTGGAGCGGTGCCTCTGTGTCGTTCTGCCGCTGCGCTTCAAGAATCTCTTCACGGTACGGCGCACCGCCCTCGTCCTAGTAGCCTTCTACGTTTTCACGGTGTGTGCTTACACCCCGAGTTTCTACACCTACCAGCTGCGACTCCGGCACGACCCGCGGACAAACTCTTCTAGGGTCCTGATGTGGATCGTCGGGAACAGGAAGGAAGTCGACGAAATCAGCGACAGCTTTAACAACATCGCCATGGCAACGATCTACCAGACGATCACCGTGGCCTGCACCATCGGTTTGGGGATCGGGCTCAAGACCTCGTCCAGATTCCGAAGTCAGGCTACGGCTGTCTCCGCGGGTACAGACACTGCCGAAGGACCCCAACGGAAAGAGAAGAGAATCATCAAAATGACCGTGGCGCTGACCAGTATATTTATTGTGTGCAATCTTTTCCAGCTGACCGTGATCTACGTGCGCAGATTCCGAAGTGACATAGACCTAGATAGGGGGAACGGGAACCTGCAGATGGCGCTGTTGAGCTGCACGCTTTTCATCACGGCGATCAACTCTTCTGCCAATATCTCCGTCTACTACTGTTTGAATCATTCCTTCCGCAGACAGCTCCAGCAGTTGATGCTTCGGTGCAAGGGTAAAAAGAAATAACATCAAAACACACACACATGCACATGCGCACATACATACTCCCACACGCACATACACACATATTCACAAACATACACACACTAACATACTCACACATTCACACACACATACATTAATACACACCCAGACTCACAATACACACATACACACACTCCCAAACACACACAAGCTCGCAAAAATGCACACACATTCACACACTATACATACAGGCTTCTATTTAGCTTTTCCTAAAATGAAGCACATCAACACAATAACGTAAAATTAGAAAACAGAAACAGCAGAGGGAAAGAAAAACAGGTAAACACAGAGGAAAAATCAAACAAATAAAACACAAAATACTGTCCCACCTGAATAAGCTTCCAAACAATACATCAGTTCCCCCTAGTCACTATCCACTTACCATTGCCATTAACCCTTCAATAATCAATTCTGACAATACAAATGTTTGCCTTTTTATTAATTTATTTGTTTGTTTGAGTGAAGAGAGGCACAAAATGACAACCATCATAAAAAAGCAAAAGAAAAGCATAAGGTAGTTAAACAAAAACAAGAAGGAAGAAAACGAATTGAGTCCTTCCGATGCTGCCCTTTAAACATCAGCAACAACAACAACAACAATAACACTTGCAATGCACAGAAACAATAAATACAAACCCCCCGACCCCTTCTTTTTCTCCTCTTCACAGACTTGTGTAGCCTATGTTGTTGTTGTTGTTATCGATCCAGCAACAGCTGGGCTCTCGCTCTTCAGTGCAATGCCATATAGTGCTAAGAGCAGGTGTTTGTGGCCTACAAGTTTGGGGTAATGAGAAAAGTGCAAGGGATTTTATCGAGAGAAACTTACAGTTGTGATGGCGGTACAACGACGCAACCTGGCGATGTCTCCCCTCAGAACTGCAACAAAAAAAAAAGAGACAGAAATCACACAGATGAAGGCTTGTCTTTTACATTCTTGTATGACATTTACACCCTAAATCAACCATTCTCACTTATAAAATAAAACCAAACTGTGCTGTAAACTACCATGAAAACAACCAACTTGAGTCTCATCCGCCCATATGACCTTATGCAGTTGCCAGCGCCATAAAACTTTTACCTAATTCAACTGAAAACACACAACAAGGTTATTTCATAGCAGGCCTAGCGCTGGGGTTTCCAAGTGTCCAGTTTTCGTTGCTATATGTTCAGATTTAGTAAGAGTATTAAGACACTTGCAACACAATAAGGTCAAATAAGTGCAAAAGATTAGATGTGTTACGAGAGAGTAACCAACACAAAAAAGGAGAGATAAGGACAATAGACGATGTTGTTTGATAGGAAAGAAGGAGTAAAACACACCAGAGCACCCGTCAACCACCCAAGTTTTGTTTTTCTTTTCTTTTTCTGGACTGTCAGCTCAGTGAGATAATTTCACCCTACTTGAAACACTTGTCTCAGTGGTAAAGTAAAGAAGAAGGAACAAAAAAAGGAAGAAATGAAAACTGACATTTGAGAATACTTTTTCTTTTTTTTCTTCTTTCTGTTTAATTTCTGTATTGTACATTTCCATTCTCAATAAAAATCAATGTACACAGAAGCGTTCGCACATGCCTATGTTATCTTTCAAAACAAAAGCTCACGTCTTGGTGGAAAATATACTAGAAATCCTTGAGCATCTTACCGTTCATGATGACAGTTTCAGCGATGTCATCTGCATTGTGACCTGGCAGATACAAGAAACAGGTAAAAAAATGATCAACACATCGTGACCTCAGAGCTTTCTTGTCCTATCTTCATTTCCAATAACAGTGAAAACAGTTCATAACAAAGAGTGAGCTTAAGAAGAAGTCACATTTTCAATGTTACAAACAAACGAAGAAATGAAAAAAACCAAAACGATGTACCGTATACAGTCAAAACTGTAAGACAGCAGCCTATTGTTGAGGAGAAAAGTTGCCGTATTAGACAGGTGGCCATCTTATGCAGTGTTATTATATATAACATAAAAACTATGCAAGGGACGAAATGGGGAGTGGCCGTTTGTTCAGGTGATTATCTTATGCAAGTGGCCTCATTTTTTCGTTGTTGAAAAATCGCTTATATTATATACAAGTGGATAGTTTTCAGCCTTTACATAAGGAATTTCTTATATGCAATCTTTTTTGAGATTTTCTTTTTCAAATTATTGGGCCTCCTGCAGCTTCAATTGTTAATTGTTGCTCAGGGGATTGTCTATGGCACACCTCATTCATAGACACACAAACATGCACACACAAACATACACACACAAACACATACACAAAGACACACATACATACACACACACACATACACATGTATACACACACACAAAGAGGTAACAAACGTGTCACTATATTGTCAGCTCCCAACCTCGTTGCCCCCCTGTTGAAAGCCTGTCAGTGGAACTCCCTGCTCCCCCCCCCCCCCTTCTC